TTGGGTTTCTCTCTGTCCCCTCTGAGCTCAGGTCTCTCCCACAGGTCCATGTTGTCAAATGCCAGGTGTGCGCCATGGCAGATAGAACGGTTTGGGGCGCAGTGTGCCTTCTGGCGGCTGCCTGTCCTACTATGTCCTCGCGGATGCGTGCGGAAGGGGGGTTGGAGGTGGTGTGGAGATGGATCGTGGGCATGTTGAGAGTGCGGGGCTGCAGAGCCTGTGCACGGGCCTCCCTGCCTGCCTATACCGCCTGATGGCGGACTCACTTTGCGACGTGTGGGTTGGGGGCCCCGTGCATGCCCCGCGACCTGTACCTGTCTTAGGGCCCCTGTCTTCTCTGCTCGGCCTTGGCGGCGGTTGGCGGGGAGCCCTGTTGTCACAACAACCCTGCGCGTGGTCGTGCTCCCTTTTTTCTTCTCACCTTCCCCAGGAGAGGCTGCGAACCCATCGGCCTTCAGTCTGCGAGCGAGCGAGCGAGCGAGCGAGCGAGCGAGCGAGCGAGCGAGGAGGAGGAGGAGGAGGAGGAGGAGGAGGAGGAGGAGGAGGAGGAGGAGGAGGTGGACCCCGGATCGGATCGACCCTCCTGCGCCCTGACCAGGAGGACCTGCACGCCGTCCCGGGGCCCAGGATGGCCCTAGCCAGGCACGGCGGCGGTGCACGGCTGCCACTCCGCGAGATCCTCCCGCAGCCGCCCGGAGGCGGCCTCTCCCCCCGCCAACGAGCCGAGCTCCTCGCGGAGGCCGGGCGCGTACGCGGCGCCCGCTCCGCTCTCGACAGCCTTGGCATGAAGGAAGCGGGGCCGGGAGTCGTGGTGAGGCTGCGGGCTGAGCACCGCCAGCCCCCCTCAGGTAATCCCTGCTGGCCTCGACAAGCACCCCCAGTAGCCCAGGTTTCGCCCCACACTGTCGGAGATGGAGATTCCTTCCGCGCCGAAGCAAAAGGCTGCCGATTGTTACCGCTGCTCCGTGGACCTATCCCCAGCGGAATTCTGACTAAGGTTTCGAGGCGAATTCGGCTAGGCGTAAGAGTGACCCTGGGTAAGGCGCGAGGGAGCCAAATCCAAGGGCGCGGGCCGCTTATACCGCATCGCGCTCGGCGATCGGGGGGAGCCCGATGAGCCCGCACCAAAGGTCACTCTGGCGAAAGGTCACTCTTACGTGTAGTCGACGAGTCCAGCCGTGGCGACGAAGGCGGTATCGGTCTCTCCTCCTCACCTGGCCCACGGCGAACAACCTCAGCCAGCCGCGGGCCCGCGGCGCGCCGGAAGGCGCCGACCGCCGCCTCATCCGCGGCCTCGCCGGGCGCTCCGGCGGGGCCTGCCGCGGAGTGGCACGCGCGCTCGGCGTGCTGCTGCGGGGGCGGCAGCCGGGGCCACCGCCTCAGGCACTGGGGGCCTCCCAGGTGGGGTCCGAGCAGATGGGGTCGGAGGATCGCGCCGCATCGCCGATGCAATCGTGATGCATCCGCGGCGTCGGCCATCTACTCGGAATCCCTTTGGGAGGCCTGGAAGCACGAGAAAGGAGGAAAAGGGGTCTGTCGCGTGAGTCGGAGGAGGGCCTAACTAGTCGAGACAGCGGCGTCCCTCGCTGGCGTTTCTCGCTCGAACTCGGGCCTCCAGGTCGGAATCTGCCTCGAACAACGGGTCAGGAGCGATACTGGGTACTCCAGATTTCGTAATAAAAGGGAGGGGGTCTGGACCCTCCAAGACAAGCCATTTCAGACCTCCCCCCGTGGGAGAACCCTCCAAAACATCGTCCCCAGACCCCCCAGGCCCTCCAAGATAGCCTGGAAGAGACCCCCCCCCCGAAATGAGACCCCCCTCCCTTTATTACGAAATCTGGAGTAAGGTCCAGGGGCCGAATTTGGCCCGATCTGGGCCAGGCGGGAGCCGGCGTGGTCTCAACTGGCCCTCCCTCGAGGGAAGGCACGGCGGCCTTGCGCGGTGGCCTTGCGCAAGTCAGGGCGGCAGGCCGCGTGGGAGAGACAGCGCCTGCGCGCGGCCTTGCGCGGGCGGCAGCTGGGGACACCACCGGAGCTCGAAGGAAGTGCGCGGAGGGCGCCTCTACACCGAACACCGCCACCATGCTAGGCCAGGGCCGTCCTGGGCCTTGGCATGGGTTGTACGCCCTTGTGGCCTGGGGCAACGAGGCCTATACACCATCCTGGGGCCCAGGATGGCCCTGGCTGGACCTGGTGGTGGGGGTGGTGATGTGTAGGCACCTTCTGCGGAAGAAGCGGGTCCTGGATGCAACGGGCCCCTGGAGCCCGAGGCTTTTCTCCCGAGGACCGGCTTCTTCATCCGGGGCAACTTTCCCACGGCCCCGGGGCCCGGGGAAAAGGGCCCTGGGGTGCCGAGAGCAGTGACAAGCCTCCAAGGCCCCTGTGCCTCAGGACCCCTCTGGCGATCGGCGATCCTTCCAGGCCCGCTCCTCCTTGGGCCCGTGCCCTTCAAGACCACCGCGCCTGTTCCCGGCGACGGGGAACCGCCAGCGGCACCGCCAAAAAGCCCCCCAGAAGGACGACGACGACGACGACGGCGTCTCCGCCCAGCCTCGTGGCGAGCCACCGCGCGCCCGGCAGGCCCCGCGGCGGCAGCGCCCCGCCGAGGGCGCCGGGCGGCCAGGGGCGCGCCGCCCCCGCCGACGGCGAGGGCCCAACGCGCCGCCCGAGGCGCGCGGCGGGGGCAGCGGCGGCGGCGGGCCGCCCGCGGCGCGGCCGCGGGGCGCGGCGGCCCGGCACAGCCGGCCGCTGGCCGCGCGCATAGCGGCGCGGCGGGGCGCCGGCCGCGCCGGCCGCCCGCGGAGGGGTCGCGCGGAGTGCCCTGGGCGGCGCGGGAGCCAGAGCGGCTGCGGAGCGGCAGCGGCAGCGGCTGCGAAGAGGCAGCGGCAGCGGCGGCGAGGAGGCAGCGGCAGCGGCGAAGAGACTGACCTGCTGCGAAGAAGCGGCGGCAAGGGAACGTGGGCTGGCCGGGCGACGGAGCAAAGGAGGGCGACGTCGTCGGCGTCGTCGTTCGTGGGCGCTTCTGGAGGGCCTCGTCGCCACGGCCGGGCGCAATGCCAAAAGCTGGACGGGACGGGCCCCGGGCGGGGTTCCGGGGACCGAAGCTGGCGGATGATGCTGATGAGTGATGAATGATGAATCATGATTGGTGAATGATGAATGGTGAATGATAATGATGAGTGATGAATGATGATGATGAGTGATGGATGATGAATGATGGAGAGGAAGATGATGATGAGGAAGATGATGATGATGATGATGATGGTAGTGGTGGTGGTGATGATGATGATGATGGTGGTGGTGATGATGGTGGTGGTGATGGGGGTGATGATGGCGAAGATGACGATTCCGATGACGATGTTGATTATGCTGCTGCTGATCATGATGCTGCTGATGAAGTGGGGGTGTTGACGATGCTGATGGGTGTGATGATGCTGCTCATGATGGTCTTGGGCATTGTGATGATGCTGTGGCTGTGGTTGTTGCTGTTGCTGCTGATGATGGTCTTACACTGATTTCGGCGGCATGCGCGCAGAGAGACCCGCGCGTGGCCCAGAGCGTATTCTTTGACAGAGTTGGCGGGTGCGCGACTATTGTTGCATGTTTTCGACATGCGCGCGCGTGTGGTCCGCATGGTCCCACTTGGGAGCATAACGGCACAACTATGGCTCTCTTATGAGTTCAGCGAGCGTGTGCGCACACAATTCCTTCCCATGTTGGAAAACGATGCTTGCCTTTCACTCCAGCTGGGAACTAACTGTAACTCAATGAATGCGGATCTGTTGTGACATGCCCCTCGTGCGGCCCCACACTAAATTGTATGATGCGGTCTCTTGCGCAAAGCACGTGTTAGATCGTCGCGTGTGCCCCGCATGTCGTTTTGACATGGGCGGCAGGGGGAGAAATCGATACAAACCTTCTGCGCATGTTCTTACACCGGCGTTCTGGGAATCCCGCGACACATCTTGTCTTGGCAGGAACATCATCCCGTCTGGTGGGATTTCGAAAACCGTGTTTCCACGTTCGGATTGGTATACCGTTTGGGACAGTTGATCTTTTGTGCGATGATGAAATGCCAGACTAAAGAATCCCGGATCTTTGATCCGACTGCTTTTGACTCAGCCCGCTAGGATTCTAAGGAGGAAGGGGGGTCAGCTCGGCGCGGTCGGAACAGGGGTCAACCTCCGCCCGCCCGCTCGCGCGGAAGTAACAGACAAAGCCCACATCAATTTAACCCTTGTAACGGCGTAGTATTTGGCATTCAAACGCCAGTGTTGATGCAGAATAGACATGTTAGCTGTTACGAGCAACTGTACCAATACCCGGCCACTAGGCGGGGGGTGGAGCCATTTCCAAAAGCCGTGCCTGCACCAAGGGGTACCACTCGCCCTGCTACGTCATTGGACGCGTCGGGCGAGCTTTCGCCTGGCAGGCGGCAGCTGGCGCCTCGCGGGCGCCCCGTGCGCTGGGCGGGCCTGGCAAGGTTTCGCCTTGTGCACGGGTGGGCGCTTCATGGGCGCGGCGCCCAGTGAACTGGGCGGGCGTGGCGGGGTTTCGCCTTGTGGACGGCTGTGGGCGCCTCGTGGGCGCCCCGTGCGCTGGACGGGTGTGGCGAGGTTTCGCCTTGTGGGCGGCCGTGGGAGCCTCGAGGGCGCCACGTAGCTTATGCCACATCGACTTATCGAATTTGCACCACGTAGCTTGCACCAGGTGGCTCGCACCATATCGATTCTCCTTTCCAGAGAAAGATAATCATAATTGAGAGAGCGTGATCCACCGCCGCTATGCCCCCCCCCTCCCCCTCCCCCATCCGCCCGGCAACTCCCCCCCCCAATCCCCCCTCCTCCCCCCTCCTTCCGGAAAGCCTGGAAAGCCGGGGGGAGATCACTACCGGTTCGACCCCCCCCCCTCTCCGGAAAACCAGGGGGGCGTCACTACCGGTTCGAACCCCTCCCCCCCCCCTCCCGCTCTCGAAAACCGGGGGGGGTCACTACCGGTTCGAACCCCCCCCCGCCTCCAAAACCGGGGGGGGTCACTACCGGTTCGAACCCCTCCCCCCCCCCACGCTCACCGCCAGCACACAACTGTGGGTCCCTACCACCGTCCGCACCACATCCCCCACTGCTGTCCCCAGCACCACTGTCCTCATCAATGTCCCCACCACTGTCGCACTGTCACCACTGTCCCGTTCCCACCACGGTTCCACTCTCCCCATTTTCTCCACAGCCCCAACCACTGTCCCACTGTCCCCACTGTCCCACTGTCCCCGCCGCTGTCCCACTGAGCTGTCCCACTGTTCCCACCACTCCCCACTGTCCCCGCCACTCCCTACTGTACCTCTGTCCCATTATCCCACCGCCGTCCTCGCCACCGCCCGCACCACTGTCGCCACCACCACTGTACCCTCCACTGTCCCACTGTTTCCACCACATTCCCACTGTCCCCACACCACTGTCCCCACCACCACCACTGTCCCACTATCCCCACTGTTCCCGCCATTGTCCCCGCTGTCCCCACCAGTGCCCCCCACCAGTGTCTCACTGTCCCCGCTCTCCCCACCATTGTGCCACCACGGTCCCACTCTCCCCACTTTCCCCACGGTCCCCACCACTGTCCCACTATCCCCACTGTTCCCACCACTGTCCCACTGTCCCCGCCGCTGTCCCACTGTGCTGTCCCACCGTCCCCACTGTCCCCATCACTGTCCCACTGTCCCCACTGTCCCCACCACTCTCCCCAATGTACTACTGTCCCACCACTGTCCTCACCACCGCCTTCACCACTGTCCCCATCACTACCGTCCCCACTGTCCCGCTGTCCCCTCACCACTGTCCCCACCACCACCGTCCCCACCACTGTCCGCACCACTGTCCCACTGTCCCCGCACCACTGTTCCCACCACCACCGTTCCCACCACTGTCCTAACATCCCCACCATTCTCAAACAGTCCAGAGGAGCGGGCATCGTTTCGTTTGCCGGCGGCGACGGGGGGGGGGAGAGGGGGGGGGTTCGAACCGGCAGTGACCACCACTCGGTTTTCGAAGGGGGGGGGGTTCGAACCGGTAGTGACCCCCCCCCGGTTTTTCGTGTGGGGGTGTTCTAACGGGGAGTAGGTATCAGGCGGTAGTTATGTATAAACCCCCGCCCCCTTTCATTGATGGACTGGGGACGGGGGGGGCTCGAACTGGTTGTGACCCCACCCGGTTTTCGAGGGGGGAGGGACGGGTTAGGAACCCCCAGTGACCCCCCGTGTTTTCCGCCAGCAGCGGTCGAACACGCTCCTTCTCATTATTAATCACACATGATTTCGCCTCATTGTTCATGTGCCGTTCGAAATCACACCGTTGCAGCCAACCACTTGTTTCATCCCCACAACCCGTGTCAAACAATACCATGCGCGCGCACCCGTATACCTCGATAGATCAGACTGCGACAAAGCAAAATCCACGCGCACATGTCAGTATTATACCAACACGCATTAGTGACACCGGCGTTTTGAACGTAACAACATCAATACTTAATCGGTGGTCCACCACAAAGCTTGCAGGTGCTCAGCCCGCGCGCACTTGTTGAAATCATGGGGCCTGATCTAATGCTTTTTGCGCGGCGCGTGGGGTCACACGGACATGCTGACATACTGCCTGCAGCGAGGCGCCGCGAGTGCGCTGCAGAGGGGGCGCCGGGGGCGCCGCGGACGGGGTGAAACGAGGGAGGGGCAGCGAGGAACGAGGGGCACGGAAGAGTTGTGTGTGGTGCGTGTGTGTGTGTGTGTGTGTGTGTGTGTGTGTGTGTGTTTGTGTGTGTGTGTGTGTGTTTGTGTGTGTGTGGGCTAAGCTCGTCCAGACTCACCACGCGTGCCTCCACGTTGATCTGGCATGCACCCCTGTGCACGAACCCGTTTCACATACTACGATGCGGGCCACAGGCGCGCGCCGCCACGCGCGCGCGTCGAAGTCCTTCGAAACGCCCACGCGCGCGCGTCGAAATCCTTCAAACAACGCCATGGCTTTCGACGCAGTTCACGATCTATAGCCCTTAAAACACATCTGAGATACCAGTCAGGTTTGGGTCGATCGGGTTGTCAGCTGTCTTGGATTTCTACGCGCGCGCACTTCCTCAGCATCACTTTCTCATCAACGCCATCGCGTCACCGCCCTGATCGTCATCGGCAATCGCCGCCAGTGCTCCCATCAGCAACACACGCACCTTCATCACCAACACGTGGACAACATCACCGTCGCCGTCGTCACCAGCATCGGCCCCGCACCAACTTCGGCACACCCTTCACACGTTTCGTGGTCCCACAGGAGCTTCACCGAACGCCCTAGCAGCAGGGTCCGCATGGCGGCTCCGCGCCCGATTCGGCACACCCGGTGGCCTCAGAGGGAACTCCAGCGAAGGCCCCAGCGGCAGGGTCCGCATGGCGGCCCCGCACCCGACTCGGCACACCACTCACACGTTTCGCGGCCCCATAGGGAGCTCCACCGAAGGCCTCAGCGGCAGGGTCCGCATGGCGGCCATGCACCCGACTCGGCACACCCCTCACACATTTCGCGTCTCCATTGGGAGCTCTACCGAGGGCCCCAGCAGCAGGGTCCGCATGGCGGCCCCGCACCTGGTTCGGCAAA